GGGGGGGGGGGTCCATAAGATTGATTTAATCAATTATTTGAGGTTTCTGAGGTGCGTCCACCCCGTCACTTAACTTGCTAAAGCAAGAGCAACTCCAGCTAGCTAAGGCTAGCTTTCGTGACTTCGCTCAGGGAAAGTATAGTCTTTGGACTTCCAGGGTATATTGTAGTATCCCTCACCAGGTTTTGCCGGACTTCTTCCCTTCAATATCCTCAACATTTTTACCCCGCGTGCCATTTTGCCCTTTCTGTCACCCATTCTTGGGTCGTGTTTGCCAGGTGACGATGGCAGAAGATAGCTCCAGCTTTTCGAACTCATCAGACCTTAGAAAACAGGCTGATGGCTGACACAGGCTGATGCTGCCACTAAAAGGTTTGAGAGGAAGTTATTCTGTACAATATACACTGCAAGTGGGACCCCCCCCTGCTTGTACAGGAAGGAAGAGTCGTCTTCCAACAAACCATGTTCCACTTCCGTTTTCCGTTGGGTTTGGCAATTTGGAAGAGTGTGCATGGACAGAAAATCAACTCTCCTGCAGCTGGGCTGGTTCCGCAGCCCATCCTTGTCCGGGGGGCCCTCTATGTAGGGGTTCTCCACTGACCTCCATCAGCTTGCACTCTCACCGGGCCCAATGCATACCCACACTCCCCGTCTTCACCCAGGTGCTGATTGAAGGTTGGCCTCAAGCTGTTGGCCAGCAGGACCTCACTACATTCCACCACAGCGCGCTCCGCAAAGCCCTCGCAGAACTGCTGCCCTCACGGCGGCAGGGCGTACGCGCCACCGTGGCGTGGAGTATGTGAGTCAGTATCTGAGGTGTTAGCTCGCCCTCTGAATGTGAGCGACAAACCCAAGGCTCAACACCAGGTTGTAGCTTGTTGCAGTGGTGCTTTGCATTGAGGTATGAACATGGTATGAGTATGTATGAATACTACAGTAAATCCGAAAGCTTGAGGCAGTTTGAAAAGGCAACAAGCGGTTTGAGGACCATGCCTCGGCCCCCCAGGGTCCATTGGCAACATGCATCTTTTGAGGACCATTCCAAGTCTCGACCTAAAAACATCCTGTCTCGCCCGCTCTCCCGTCCTGTCTCGCCCGGCGCCAGCAACAAACGCTGCAGCTGCCGGACCACCAGTGCCAACCTGGTCAGTTCAAAGAGGTCCAACGAGGCAACCAAAGGCAAGGAAACTAGAAAACAACAAAAAAAAACACCATGCTTTACTGGGCATAATCTCGGTGTCTAAAGGAATACCTACAGCTAAATTTCGATGGCACAATCCCAAACATGATGATAAACATGTCCTGTACAGTGTAGAAGTATGTAGAAGTATGGTATCCGCATCACTGTATCACCGCTTGAACTACTGCATGCGGTTCAAAACCAACTCCATACTTCACGTAGGGAAACTGGTGGTCACCAGTCAAACTGTCCATGTCCTGACATGATTCGATTAAATTGGTTTCTTTGTTGACCATCTCTGGTCTCTCCAGCTGTGACACCGCTTGCCGGTCGGGTGGCATTTCTTCTGTTCGGCCCTCGCCAATGTTCTTCACGTCCGACAAACACTTCACAATGGCGCCCATCTCGTCCGGCTCAATCTGACCTCGGCGTCCAAGATCAGGGTCAAGGGGTATATAACAATTTTGACCGCTCAAGGTTTCATCATGTGCCCCGGGTGCCCCACACCTTTGTCTTTTAAAGAACACACCAAAAGTAAACCAACATTGGTAATTAAACAAATTGATCACCTAGTTGAGCCAAAAAAAACACATACCAACTCTTTGGACCGCGCGCGCAAACAACGCGGCTGCGCCGTCGGGCGGCTCAGGGGAACTTTGCTGAGGCAACGCATCACGATGAGCTTCAAATCATCGCAGGGGATCACCAGCAACTTGAGCAAGATCGTCTCACGCCTCAGACGGTCCCGGCCGGAGAGGGACCGATCTTGAAACGAGCCGGTGTCAGGCACCACCTGCCTAGTGCTTTTTTTTGAAGGTGCTTGGCACTGTTTACAGTATATGATCAAAACCTGATTAAGCCAACACACTACACACACCACAAACATATATACATTTGTTAAAAAAAAAATATATATATATAAGTATAACGTATAATTCACCTCAATTGTCGAAGGCCGTTGTCAATCTCTTGGTCGACATTGTCAAAATCCCATTCAAAAACCAGTAGCTGGCCGTCAACCCCCAAACAAAAGCACTGAACACATACAACATCGTATCTTGACATCGAGGACGGTGCACACCCCCGCTAAAACAAAGACTGGCCAGTGAAAACACATGAACATGCTGTGTTGAAGGGCCCAATGTGCTCCCTACGGGCAGTTTTCACATGAGCACTCGGAACCCTTTGTGAGCCAGCGTTGTTCCTTGTAGCCATGGTCTTGAACCCTGTTGCTAGTATCAGTGACATTACTCTCTACACAGCAGACCAGCCGCCCTGACCCAACAAAATATTGGAAGTGTTGTCCACTTGCACGTTTGGAGGAAGGTTTCTTTAATGCGCAATGGTTCTCATAACCTCCACCATGTCTCCATCCCTCCCCATCACTCCAGTGTGCCCCTGGACATTCATGGCGTCGTTCACCAGCTGACGTGCTTGATCGTCCTCGATGCTGTCCTGGATCGTCGCGGGGTGGATCGTTCTGAATCGAGGATCCATTTCCCGTTGGATCTACAGTACACGGCTCCAACTGGATCTCAACAGCACAGGAGTTCCCTATAATATAGCGGCTCCTTCAATCCATTCCAAAAGTAATGTTCAATTAGCAATAATGAAGCAATTATAAACTTCCAGGCAAGTTGCTTTCATTTGCTTTCAATTTGCTTTCATTTTGCTTTCAGTTGCTTTCATGTTGCTTTCTTCTTGCTTTCATTCGGCTTTCATTCTAATTAATTCTTTCTGAGTGATCTGCAGCAGGGCTGCAGGGGGGTTGATTGTGTAGCTTGGTTTATAATTGCAGGGGATGGGAGTCTAAAGGGGTATCCTTTGAAGATATGTTTTGTATTTGTTTGATAGGGTTTGCATAAGGAAACCTAAGCTTTTGGCTAGCCATTTTTTTGAAATCTGATGGGCAAACATAAAAAAGAAAGAATCCACAAAAGAACAAAAAGAATTGGAACAGGAGCCGGACAAAAATAGGAGAAATTAAAAGTAAAAGGGAGAGCACAAGCCAAGGATAAGCCAGAAGGGCTGGAGGGGGGTTGATTATTGTAGGTTGGTTCATAATTGCAGGAGGTGGGAGTCGAAAGGGGTACCCTTTGAAGATATGTTCTAGTATTTGTTTGATAGGGTTTGCATAAGGAAACCTACTGCTTTTGGCTAGCCAAAGTTTTTGGAAATCTGATAAGCAAAGCTAAAAAAAGATGATCCCACAAAAGAACAAAAAGAAAGAAGAAGAAGAAGAAAAAGAAGAAGAACACAAGAAAAAAAAAGAGTATAGTTTCTTTTAGATCTGCCTGAAATTTCTGAGACGCAGTTTAAAAAGAAAGCATTGTGAAGGCAAATTGGGATCTGAGAGACAACATGTCATTACTATTGTCTCATGTTTATAACTGGCTCGTCAAAATTGTTGCCCATTTTGGGGTCTGGATGTTAGTAGTATGGCAAAATTCTGGCAGTCCAAAAAAGCTTGTTATTATTGACTCATGGTTGGTTACTGCTAATTCAACATGAATTACTCCCCAGTCTCCATCGAATTCTTCAGCCCGGAAAGGGCGCGCTCTCATCCCCAGAAGAAAAGTAAACTCGTCTCAGTCCCCTCCGCTCCGCGACGCTTGGAGAACACGCCGCCCACCTTCCCCCCCTCATCAAACGACCGTCCAAGCGTCGTCTTCTGCAGCAAAGAACTCCACCAGGGAGACAATGCCTCGGTGTCGCAGCGCTGGGAGCGAGCTGGCTCGCAGCGAAGAAGGAGGTCGGCAGGGATGGGAAACGAATATATGATCCCTGCTGATTACCTAGGGGGGCATCACCTTGGGGGGGGGGGTCACCTAAGGGGGTAGGGATAATATATGATAGTACTTATGATAGTCTGATAGACCCTCCAAATAGAACAATAACATCCCGTTCAACATGTCTTGGAAAGAGTTTCTATCTATTTGGTGACAACAAGTATGTAAATGTGTTGATGCGTTTAAAACAACACATTGGATGTATGAAAGTCCCTTCATGTGAATCATATGAGGATTCTCTTTATGAATATCAGTTTTACATGAATGGAATTTAACATCGGTCTTGAGCGTTTGGTTTTGTGCGAGGAAAAGGTGTGTCCTATATATTATATATTTATGTAGGTGGAGGAAAGAGGCAACATTGATTGCGCTCCCTCCGAGAAATGGTATATAAGTGGAGCAGGACCTTCAGTTTGGGTTTCTCTCCTTCTGTATTGACACGTATTTAAGATGTTGGATTCACGTACCCGACGGCGCGACAGCCAGTTTCATCAGGATCTCGCCAGACTTGCTTCATTATGTAAAATTTGTGTTGCTGGAGGACTGGCCATGAACGCCATGAAAACGGATCAACACAACAGTGCCAGAGACTCGAGACACTACTTGGGAGGTGCTGCTACTTCATTCTCCTGCAATCGTTAGGCTTTCCCCTCCACTTGGATGCGTTTACTGGCAATGCTGCCTATAATTATTTGCACGGCGTCTGAGATACTGCAAAGCTACCCGAGTTTACCGTGTATCCAGACATCTCTCCCAAACAAAATTCAGATACATGGAGGTAGTACACTCCCAAAAACTAACATGGACCCGGACTCCGACTGTTTTCCTCTACCAACCGACGTTGTTTTCAGGGTCTATGTTAGTTGATCATGGAGGTAGATGTGCTTCAGGTAGGATTTGCACCCATTTACATGGGTCAACCCTTGGTCTTCTCGCCAGCGGCGCTGGTCCATCCCAGACTGAGGCCCCCAAACCCACCATTGCGCTGGTCACTAAATCCTCGGGGCCAGCGAGCAAAACAACGGCGGACGACGGAAGGGCGTGTCGACACACGGACAACATGTCCAACACACACGCACACACACGGACATGCAGGGATACTCTCCCTAGAGCTAATATGGAAGTGGATGGCATGGCCCCGAAAGGAAGACCATGAAATCCTCTACAAACAGGTAGTTTGTCCACTTCCATGTTAGTTCCAAGCAGGGATCGTTGATCTCTGGTAAGGGTCCCCAGATGTCCCAGTTCTGGTCCCTGCAATCTTCTTTGACCGGGCCGAAGAAGTAGCCAACCTTTCTGATTCTGTGGTGAAGCTCTAAACTTGGAGCTGGCAGCCATAAACGCACCAAGTGACAAGTACGATTGACTATACCCTGGACGTGGACCAGAACATCAATTAAAATGTTTTTCTGACCGGACTTTTCTGAAACCATTTGCCCCATCATGAACACATCCCTTTCTCAAGGTCCCATTCTCCATGTGCATTCCATTCTTTCTCCCCCCCTCCAAATCCATCGCTCCAGACCTTGGCAGCGGCCTCTCCACCCTCTCCGCGCCCCAGGCGCATTCTCCAGCTCCGCGAAGGGCGGTGGGTCCGAAGACTGCGACCCATCGTGCTTCAGGGCCAACTTGTAGAGCTCCGGGTACCTGCAGAGGAAGCGAAGCTAATGGGTACCTGAGTGCCAATGGTCACCAAACCTGGTTCACCACCCCAAAATCAGAACAACCCTTCGACATGCCCAAAAACTGAATGCGGTCGACCGGTGGTCAGTGAGCGCTGGAGATCGCTGGTGCGACAGCGGCGGCATCGGCGACATCTTGCTGCTGGGAGACTTCTTCTGGCCCAGGAATTGCAGCAATGGGGTCACCTGCGCACAAGATGCAGTGAGCTGCATAGGACTACATGGGACTGGAAGATGCCTACAACACGAGTCCCATTTGGCTTTGTGTTATCAATGATCTGCCGGATTCATTATGAATCATTTAGATTTCATGAGTTTCTTCGGGCGTTTCTTCCTCTGAGCCCACTGTTCTTATTGGCTCTTGGGACTGGATGATGATGTGGGGATGAGGACGTGGAGCTCATGCGTCTCTTTGACGGTAGGAAGGTTGGTGCAATATGCGAAGTGTGACCAACTCGCTGGCATTCGTTGGCATGCTCGTTTGCTGAGCAAAGGCATCATTCAAACATACCATACTCTGTGATGATGCAACGTCGACGAAAGCAGCCTACTTCTGAAATAGTCAGCAAATGAAAGATGCTTGTCATCATTTCTCATCAATCAATGACGAATCACCTAACAAATTATACTAAAAAAAATGGATGAAGTTGGAACAATCTTCCAGTTGAGTCAGCCGGTTCGCTGGTCAATTTCGTTCAACCCACAGAGCATCACAAAACCACGTACTGGCAACACCGTCTGACTTCCACCGCGCAACATCGGCTGATCCCAGGAATCGTCCTCCGGCCTTGCGGAGGTCTTCGACCACTTTGATGGCCTGGCGCACGTCTGCCCGCTCATGCGCGCGTTGATCGCATGGAGGAGGGCGATTGTCTAGGTCCATAGGTGTTTTCTCCTGCTCTTCGGTGATAAATGATCGAACATATATAAGTGGCAGCTGCCTACTCCTGTTCTGCGTCACCGGTCGGTGCCAATTAAGAGACGTTCATCCACACCGGCCAGCAACCGCAGGAACCGGCCAGCAACCGCAAGATACTGCAAGATACACAACCCGAAAGATCCTGTTTCAGGACCTAAGGTGAGGGGTTGCTTAATATCCTTCATGATCCTTCATGTCCGTGTTACACTCCCTAAAAGCCTCGTAGTTTCGTGGACCATGGACCATGGCGGCTTGGACCGCTCTCGGCCGGGCTCTCGGCCGCGAGGTCGCCCCGTCGGAGACCCGTCGGAGGTCGCCCCGTCGGTCCTGCTTCTTGTAGACTCGGGGATCCTCCAACATCACCCGCAAGCTGCGGGTCACAGCCTGGCGGGTCAGCCGGAATGAAAGACCAAAAAGTCATCAAAAAAAGACATGGCGGGAAAAATGCCAAGGGGGGATGATAGGGGGATGAGAACATGATGAAGTTCTCTGATATCGTTTGTGTAGATGCATGTTTATCTCCGCTTTGGAACCCTGACATGAAGACCAACACAGTAGGTGAAGATCCTGCCGCAGGTCATTCTGTTCGTCTGCAGCATGTGAACCTGCAGCTTGACCCACACAAGCATTCTCCATGGCCAACCTGCGACGAAAACATGAGGTGTAACTGTACAGGTGTGTATATAAATATATATACACTGCATATATATATATAATATGTATACACTGTGTATATAATGTATATATATGTGTGTGTGACAGACACAACATGACACACCAAGGAAGACAGACCCTTCAGGATCCTTCAGGCCAATCCGGGCGGGCAGTCTTCCCCTCTAGGGATCCGCCGGCGAAACGGCCGGCGCCTCCATGATGATGGGATCCACGACGTGAAAGCGCAGCAGCTGGCAAAGCACATCATGCAAACAGATGGGATCACAGCACCTCAGTTCTGAGCTCAGCTCAGACTCACTTAGGGAAGAAGTTCCACATGTCATGTCAGCTCAAGTAGATGCAGGAATTAGACAGAAATCACACCGCAGTAGACTAACTAACATAATCACATTCTTGTAATACAGTAATAATAACATATGCAATCTGATCCCCATCTGCTTGTGTCATCTTCTGCACACGGGTGGCCATAGGCAAATGTTGGGAGCTAGAATCTTTACACAGTATGTCTGGGACAGCTACCCGCCATGCAAAAGCTTGTTGGATCACAAGTTGCTGTTGTCAAGTTCCTGCGCTACTCCAGATTCTTCACAATACGGTACGTTCGGCCACAATAGTCGGCCATCCGTTCTTCACACGAAGACCATGGACCGTATCAACAAGGCATAGGTGGTTGTGGCATCGGAGCCCCCGAAGCCCGGCTTCCTTCTCCATCCGTGCGAAGCAAACAACTGCGGGGGGTATATAGGTCGGAAGAATCGGCTGCCGAGGCCGAGACGACGCAACGTCTCCCAGCTCTATGCATCAAAGTTCACTTGCATTTGTGATATTTGTGGTCCATTTCTCTGGTGACAAGTGCTTCGTGCAGCCCAGCGGCTCGTGCAAGGCATCGGTACTGCGCTTCCTTACTTGATCAAGCTGGAGAGCGAACAGCATGCTCGCTGACCAGCACCCGGCAAATGAAGGAATCACACTCTCACTTACACGTCTAGATCTTGCCACTTCTGAAGCTGTCCCCCCAAGCACCGTCAGCTGTCAAGTAACAAAACAGAACTATTATATATGTATGTATGTTGGACTGTTGGGAGTTCAGTTTGGGAGGAGTCTCAACGCAACTACTTGCCGACTCCAACTGGAGCAGGCGGAGTTGACTGGGAAGGAAAGCGGTCCTATATCACTGGGACCGTGGCGAAAACAACAGCGGATGCCGCCACAAAGCCAAGAGTTGCTTGTGCTATTCATAGCGGATGGACCCATTCCAATTCCAAGACCTGTGTTCCAAAACACCATGTCTTGGAACACTCCATTTGGGGCTCTATCCTGTCCCTATTGATTCCCAGCCCTCTCTTGTTCGAGCTTCATGATGGCTGAGGCGAAGTGGCAAATGGATGCGATCCTCGGTTGATCACAACTGCTGGCTACAACAGTACTGCGTGCAAACTGGAATTGGTACCACAGTTAGCACATGTTAGCACAATCATGCACAATCCAATGAATTTTGCTAACTGGCTAACTGCAAAGGCTGATTGGTCCATGTCGGCCCTGCCCGCCCCATGTCGTGGTGTTTCCGACACACCCGACGGAAAGGCACGGAATGCACCAGCCGGGGTCCGGGGTAGAACTGGGCTCAAGAGACAGAGATGGGCCACCGCTGACAACAGGGCAAGGGGGCCCATCGCTGACCCAGGTCGGCCACCCCGTGGAGGCAAGATGCCCCAAAAACAACAGACGGGTGGACCCCCCGGGACCCGGCACGACCCGGGAAACTCTCCCGACCGCCCGAGCGGCGTCTTGGCCTCCAAGGGCAGGTCGTTGTGGCGGCCCTTGGTGGACGTCAAGACCTGCCTGAGCCGGGCCACCACCTGAGCCCGTTGTGCCCGGCGATGTGTGGGAGTTTGTCTATTGGTTGAATGAGGGGAGGATCTTGCAGGAAACCCATAGTTTTGGGGGGCGAACACTGTGGATTGCCTGACGCTTTTCCCGTTCGAAGTTCGAATTTCAAGGAGAACTGGGTGTGGGGTGGGCAGCACGTCCATCTGACTCAATAACCAACAAATTGGTTTTCTGTGTCATCCACAAGGTCCAAAAAGAAAAACAACCTCTGGGCAGTTGATGGACCAACTGAGACCCAAAAACGAAACGGCCTGAGACCCAAAACACCCGCAGCGCCGCACCTTGGAATGGATCGCAGCTTTGTAGAACATGCCCACGATCTCCTGAGAACTGTGAGTAACTGGGCACGGCTGGGATACAGATGTATATATGACGTGCGTTTGTGCCAATAAATATATATATAATATATAATATAACAACTAGTATAATTTATGTACAGTAAATACATGTAAATACTTAATCTGCCTGGTACTTACACGAAACTTTGACAGGATGACAGGATACAACGAAGATCACACTAGGTCACTATAGCTGGTGCCTCGGGAAATGTGGCGAACATGGCAAAGTTCTGACCTCGCTGAAGGGAACAACACATATTACAGTCCGCCATTTGCAGCAGCATGATGTTGCTTGGCCTTCCAGCATGAGTGGCTTGATCTCTGAACTGATCACCGCACTTTTGGATCTTTTGGACTTGGCGATTGTACTAGACGCCATGTTTGACACCGCTCTGTACAACCATTATACGTATTTGAACGCCCCTTTCTGCTAGGAGTATGCGGGCGTTGAATAATATATATATACAGTATATAAATATACTTACATAATCTTACTATTTCTCTGCAGCTGGTGCCCAAGATGAGCCAGCTGCCGGCTGCTGCTTCTTATCTCACTTTCAAACAATGATGCACACGGGTATGAAGTTCTTTGCAGCCTTGAAATGCTCCAAGGCTTCTCCAGCAAGGGTTCCCACAGCGTCCAACCAGGTGGATTAGCATCAACAAACCGAACGAACACGTCAAGCAAAAGAGAATCCCGAGAGTCTTGCAGCGTCGGGCATCGAGGAAAGTGTCCGATCCACAGTGGAAACTCCAATGAATATAACATAATATAACATAATATTATAACTATATAACTATATACTATGTGTTTATACATATGTATTATATGTGTGTGTAGCCAAAAGTCTAAGCGTAAGCTGCATCTGGTTGTTCGGTTCCAAGAAAGATAAGATGAGGAACAAACAAGACTGCGGAATGTGCGGTGTTTCTGGGGAAGGAGCACATCCAAAAGAACTAAAGAGCCTCTTAGAACCCTCACAGCATCTCCAAGAGGACATTCAGGGCCTCGAAACCAACAGCGACACAGAGTTTCACGGTACCGTCGAGGCCCAGGCAGAAAGCATAGCCTACCCATGCGATAGTCAGGAGGTCCCCTCAATCGAACGCCCAACGCCACTTCTTTATGATTTTGTGGTACTCATTGAATGCCACTTAACAGGTCCAACTAGTAGCTTCTTGTTACTATAGTAGTAGTGCCAGGAGCTACTAGTAGCTTCTTGCTCCGTTCGTAGCGATGCCCTTTGCTCCGTTCGTAGCGTCCTCCACCCCCCCCTCCTGTTAACAGAGTCCACTTGTTGCAACCCACCTCGGAGCCGTGCATCACGATGTTCTGCGAGATCCGCAAGACGTCCATCCACATGCTGCGCAGCCGCTGGTTGTCCTCGCGACGTCGTCACCCAGTGACCTGTGTGGCCTGTTGGGGCCCAACAACCCTCTAAAAGGAGACCCGGTGAGGGGTGTTTTTGTGTTTTTTGCTTCTTTATTGGAGGCAGGGGTTTAAACCAAAGGCTGACGGAGGGTAGAGACACAGGTTCCGGGGAACAAACATGAGGACCCCTGCAGAAGATGTCTTCTTCTTTTCCTTCTTCTTCTTCTCCTTCTTCTCCGGCTCTTTCTTGTTCCGGATTCGCATGCACGGCTGTTGGACAGGGAAGGAAAAACCGTACATACTGTACCATGCTGCATGCTCATCTTCCCAGGTGCTGCTGAGGCACGAAAAGTGCCTTGTTCTCCAAATGCGTGATGCACCTGCCGCGCAGAAGGGGGCAAAGGTCAAGCAACATCAGAAAAAGAACCACATCCGTAGTGGAAGTCCGAGATTCCAAGAAAAAGTGCTGTGCAGAACCTTGCTAGGAAGTTGGCTTTGCTTCCAATGTGGACGAGTCTCATGGTCTGTAATACGTCCGCGTCTCTTGGAGGATCAACCCAGTCGGTCATTCTCGCAACCACCCATTTCCTGGCTTTCCATGGGTGGTCCTCAGTGGTGCGACCCAAATCGGCACGGATGGCGTGGGACAGGGGATCACCCAATGAAAGCGTACAGTGAAACCAATGGATTCTTTTTGGCACCAAGCCATCCATGCAACCTCTAAAACAATTGCATCCATCGATCAACTCCTGGCCAAAACGCCAGGCCCGCGTTGAGCAAAGGATAGCAAAGGTCAATGGCACAGTTACACCAAGTAGAAAGGCCCCCCATGTACTCACCTGAAGACCCCACAGTTACACCAAGTAGAAGGGGTGTACTCAGCTGAAGACCCGTGGCTCTCTGCCCCAAAAGGCCTTCCGGCCAGGTCCTGTTGCGCAGCCTTCGACGCGTACTCCTGGGTGCGACATGGCCAAAGAGCTCGACGAAAAAGCCACATCTTCAGTGCGAAGTGGGCCACTTTTGCAAGGGGGGTGTTGGAGCTTGACGTCCTGTAAGACTATAGGTATCTGCTTGCCATCGTTCGTTCCCCCAGTTGAGGATACATTCTCATATATTCCCACGGATCCCAACTGCTAGAATCCAAATTCTGAGAAGGTCTTGATGGTGGTTAATGTTACAACTTTCAGTTCGTGAAGGGCATCACTTTCCCATCTCTCCAAGGTGTCTCCAAGGTGTCAATTGGCCTAGAACTGCTAGAAGCCTTCTGAAGCCTTATTAATTCTCAGAATCCTTTCAAGCACCCCAAGCCACAACCAAACTAAACCAATGAGGCAACCTCTTGGCCCTTCTTGGTCTCCAAAGCTCACATGCGCTGATCTTACCATCAATACTTTCATGCTAACAACTGGGAACCCTCACATCCGCCCCCCACATACCGAAACCCCCCCACATACCGATCCCAGCCTCACCCACCCCTCCCAATCCAACCAAATATCCCCCTCCCACTCTGCTCCCGACGCCTCTGGACCCGTCATGTAGGCCAGCAACTTCACCTCACCCGGTGCTCAAACCGGACGGGCGACCAACGCGAGGAAGGCGACCAACGCGTCGAGTCAGCGTAGCCAAACGAAGCTGCCGACCCGGTCGGAACGAGAACGATGGACATTGGTGGAGCTCCGACCGTTGATGGTTGGGCATGTTGGATGTTCATGGTCGATTTCGGGGAGTGTAGCGAAGTACCGAAACGTGACTCCTCATTGTGTCGAAGCCGCATTGAACTAAATTCTGAACAACTGGCAACAATTATAAAACAAGAAAGCACAACGGCAAATGGTTGGTGTTTTCGGGCGTTAGCAAAGTAACGGAAACTATGTTGATGCGCAATTTGGCTGACTTGTAGCCAGGTGTCCATGAGGCTATTGAACATGAACACAAGCTTTAGGCTGCCTCTCTACAAACCAAAGTTCAACAGCTCAACCCATTTGAATCCATTTGACTTGATTGTTTGTTCTCGGTTGCTTGGCACTTGGAAAAAACACATGTAGCTCAATCGATCTCCCTTGCTCATTTGCCAATCCCTTGTGGATGAGCAGCCTGGGTCAATCCTGTCAATCCGGATCATGAAATCAACAAGTGGACAGGATCTTGTCAAACAAAAGTAGACATGCATAAACTGTGTAAGTGATTATCGCGGGCTTTACGCTAAGGATGTCCCGCGACATCTGGCAAAAAGCACCTCTTGGCGACATCCTTTCGAGGCTTGGGTGCAGGAAACTGGAGCAGCCGAGTCAACTTCCGGGCACCTCTATATAGTATATAAACCCAAAGATGCGAAACGCGGCTCAGCAGCGATGTGGGCACCATTTTCAGTAAGATATTCTTCCTTGGCGGATGAGAGCGGCAAAAACATTGCAAGAGGCAAGCGGGGGCAAGTGTGCTTCTTGGATGGGCTTATGATACCATGCACCCCGGGTGAGTAGGTTAGAGATGAAAACAATACGTCATCAGTGATATATAAGATGCCATATGATGCCATGAGTCACCCGAGGGATGTTCACCAATCACTGGAGTGTGAGGGGCATGCGCAGCGGCGTGGACTCAAAGTCCAATGACTTAGGCCTGTACAGGACACTCCTGGAAACTGACATCGACCCGGATCGAGACTTGCACCCTAAGTCCGACTGGGCTTCCTCTACCAGCCAGCCGTGGTTTTCAGGGTTCATATTAGTCTTTGGATGTCTTTGGTACACCCAGCAGGGGTTCCAAATCCTGAGGATATATTTGAGACGTCAGGTCGAGCGACCCCCCTAAGCTTCATGGCACACATCCCCCAGTGTCTCCACGGGCGTTGGCTTCAAAGAAAATTCCGAGATTCCTTACCACAAGCCATCACAAGCCAACAGCAAACACATCCGAACCGAGGCTCTGCAAGGAACCAGGAAAGCATCATGGGCAGCAGCTCTTGGATAAGGCTGCAAACCTCTTCCCTGCGCTGCAAACGAGACGAACAAACGAAAATTTTCAAAGCTAGGGCTAAGGGTCCGTTGCTGGACGAGGGAACTTCTGAGGGCTTGAAAAGGATCCCTGGTTCTTGGCTTCCTTGCTTGCTTGACCCCTGGCCATACCCACAACAAAATCAGGTCTGCAAGGTTGTACCCATTGCCCATGGCCAATAATTATAACGGAACAAGTACACAAAAAAGGGACGCCGGTACTCATTCCCAAAAGATGAAGCAAGGGACGGCTGATCAGCTTCATCAGCCGTATGGTGTCTTCCCTGCCTAATCTGCTGTTCCTGCACCATGTCCAGCAAGCCCAGCAGAATGGTTTTGGTCACATCGCTGTTGATGTTGTCCTGCAAACATTCAGGACGATCAAACACACCACACAAATGACGGCATGCCGGAAAATCGAAGCAGGTCGGGTCAACCTTACATTCGACCCTACTGAATGCCTGACAAGGAATGGATTCAAACTATATCTACGGCCACCTTGAACATCCTTGAACCATCTAGCCAACAAACCCGCGATTATCCAAACCAGCTGGGTAACCCTCCAAACCCACAAGGCTATCTGGACCACTGGTCACGCCCGCGGTCCAGAGCGAAAACCGACTTTCAGGCCAATCCGGTGTCAAATGAACCGAAAGTCCTGACCCATGTTTGACACCGGTGTCAAATGAACCCAATCCTTGTTGCTTAATGAAACGATCCCCTCTCCGTGAATCCAACTTCCAAGGTCTGTCCCAGGTCGACGTACAGGTACGCAAACTTGAGTGTCTTTCCAACATGAAAAAACGACTACACAAGGACCTACATATCTACACAAATCTAAGCAGCGCATAGCAGCAACAAACTGCGAACTGCTTTCTACCAGGCCTCCTGCGGCAAAACTCTTTCCAAGCACTGTTAGCACTCCAACCTCATGTGAAATAGCACCCAGTGCTTCTCTTCGCACGCCGCACGCCGATGCGGGCGCCACCTCCCCAAAGTCCATCACCGTGGGCACCACGATGCGTTCAAGTCCATGCCCCGCCTCCTCGCGACCTCGGCATGAACGAGAGTCCGTCCTGTGTCGTACCAAACCTTTGAAGAACTAGAAACAATATGAAACAATCAGCCTTTCTAACTTATGTATCTGCTCACATGGTATGGTATGTGTGAGTTGGTGTGCGTAGGTGGCACCTGGCGGCCTGTGTGTGCTTGTGCGTATGTGGTGTGTGTGTGTGTGTTAACACAAAGGGAGCAAGACTCAGAAGGTGGAAGAAAATCAAGCTTCAGATGAAACTCATCGCTTTGACAAAGTCTCTCGCAACTTCTTGAAGCACCACCCACCACTGACCACACAAAAACATAGCATATCGCAGCTCCAACTTCCGCCCGTCGCGCTTCGCTTCGCTCGTTGGAGGCTCGGAGCATTGGTCGCTGCTCAGCATCATGCGCCGCAGGAGGTCGAGGCATCGGCGGCCCAAGTCGAAGGACGTGACGCAGCTGAGAAAGCCTGCACCGCTTCGGACGAGGAAGTAGCGGCTAAGTAGCGGCTTGGGTGGGGTTTGGATGAGCCCCCTTGGTGTGCTTTTCAAATGTTATGCAACGGTAATCCAACCCAAATCCATGCATTTACATACGTTTTGTGGTTAAATTGTCCATGATAACGGTCATCCATCATGAATTTCCATTGATCATTTTCCATAATTTTCCAATGATACTGTCGATGGACACGGTCTTGACCGCCTCAAACATCGACCACCAGAAGGATTGTCATGATGGTCAGGAGTTGAACTTTGTTAAACTCAAACTCCTTTTTAAATGATTGGCATGATTGTCAGGGTTGATTTGTTCAAAAGATATATTTTTTACCGCGTCGTACGGTTGTTACCTATTAGACCTATTAGCTCCATGTCGTTCCAACATCTCCAGCTAGCAGCTGAAGCCCGGGACCGGCCCCCGGTCATCACCTTTCGGAGCTTCGCGCGCCTAGCGACTCCACCAGCTCTCCCCGTGCCGTGTCGTGACGCTCCATGACCTTTCGTGAACAGCTTGAGGTAGGTTAAAAAGAGCAGGGTGGTGCGAAAAACAAATCGGAAAAGCAACACAAGAAGGATGAAGAAGGATGGCTTCAATGTTGTGAAGGTGGTTTCATGATTTTGATTGCCCTTTTCTTGGGTGATTGGAAAGTGCTAGAAAAACAACTGTGAAGAGCTCAGCTCAAATACTGCAGTGATGAGCTCCAGGATGTAGGACACAGTGATCTGCATCTCCTCAGGATGGGTCACCAGCAGCTCATGGCATGGCATTTCCGACGAGATCTGGGTGGGTATGGATGGATACCCCTCTAACCCCCGTCCTCCGCGATGTTCGGCCAGATTGGCTTTCTCTGGGCAAAAGGCTGTTGATAGATCGAGCCTCCACGTCGAAAACTCTAAAACCCATCGATGCCACCCATGACGGGTGGCAGAATGATCAAAGGATAGATCAAGCAACAACGCTGGCATGGATTTGGGCGTGCAAATCCAACACGGGAGATCTCCCAGTCAACGACCCCCCCTGGTCAAAGGAAGAAAGACCAAAACCCATTGGGCCAGTGCCAGGAAGGATGGCCAGTGCCAGGGCGTCTCCCCACTGGAGCCATCCACATCTCCCAACGCGACTGGCTCGCCACCCAGGAGCTGCATTGGAGCCGCGATCGATGCCATCCCAAAAGGCCTCCTCGATGTTAAAAGCCTCAGCGGTGACACCCAGGTAGCAGTGGCACAGGTGAAGTGGCTGAGTGATTCTGCCGCTGTGACTCTTCAGCCATAGCCATTGTTGTTGCCAATGGTGAAGCCATAGCTGAGCGGTGTTCCAAAACTGTTGACTCAGAAGTTCACTAAACGTCTCTTCAACATCCCAAGTTGCTCCAGTTCGAAATCAAAAGTGTGGCCACACACACCCTCCCTTCGATCTTATTCCATGTCATATGCGCAAATGATGATCTCCTAACTCCCTGTGTCTCGCAAGCAGTCCAAGGAATCCCAGCCGGAATTCAGTTGCACCCAGCGGCCGCATGTGAGTGTGCGCGCTTGGCTGAGTTCTCCCGGACCTTCTGCACACAACTGGCTAAGGCCTCTGGCTCCTCCATCAAACAAGATTGGCGTGCTCTTGCGGTTTCAATTCAAGTGCGACCAGGGCAGAGAGATGGACAACGCAAAAACAAAAAACAATAGAAACCTGAACAACAACTGATTCCTTTTAAAATTGCACTATTAGATTCTGCAGTTCTCGAAACCTCGAACACGACGGTCGATCGTGAGTTCATGAACCAGATCCTTCATGCCATGTCTTGGCCCAACTCATAGGGGCCCCTTGACCATCGCAGGCTGCCGCCATGGAGTGAAAAGGAGCGCCTGGTGCGCTCAACCGGATTTCGTGCTGTTCAGTCGGCATTCGTATGGTCGTGCATTGGTCGTTTGCACTTTGAAGTGTTCACATACAACATTGGTTGTTGACAGTTGGCATTTCTGTTGTGTTGAAGCTACCAGTGCATACCAACAGCACTGGTAGCGGAGCGGTGTTTGCTCCAGGGACATGTCCGAGGCCAAGGATCGCAATGAGGTGCCGAGTTGGGATGGCAGCTCAAAGACCTGGCGTCGGTATGTGAAGGAAGTTGGTTGGTTTCTGTCTGGCACGAAAGGGTCGCAGCGCAAGTATGTTGCAGCCAAGCTCATTAGCAAGCTTACAGGTGCAGCTCGTTTGTTGTCTATGTCCTGGCATCAACGAGACTTCGAAGGAGAAGAAGGAGTTCAGGTGATGTTGAGGAGACTTGCTGCTTCTCCCCTTGTGCGCCGTAGCCTGCCTAATGCAGCTGCTACCATGTCGGCCTATTTCATGTTCCAGCGCAGGCCTGGTGAAAGCATTGCTCAGTTCCTTGTGAGGGAGACGTTGGGATTCGAGGAATTCCAGGAGGCCCTTCTCCAACTTAAGGAGGAGAAGGATGGTGTCTCGCCTGCCGACCGTTTGTTTGAGCTGCCTGAGATCACGCCTTCTGAGACCTCTGAACGTGGTGACTACAATCCATGGCGTCGTGACCAACGCTGGAGGGATTGGGAAGAGACTCCATTTGAGGAGCCTGATGATGGTTCGCCACCAGTTGAGGCCCCCGAAGGCTATGCTGCAGTTCCTCAGACTTCGGAAGCAGGTGATGATCGTGCACCTACACCTCATTCACCGGCGGGATCGCCGAACCGGACTCGGCAATCAATGAAGAGCCCCTCACGCAAGACAGAGCAACAGAAGTTAGTTGATGGTTTGGGTCCTATGGATTCCTTTATTTTGGACGTTTTACGTGGATGGAGATTGCTTGTTGCCGCCAGCCTGACAAATGATGAATGGAGAGACATCTTGGCTAGTACGGGTAACAAATTGGACTACCCTGCCATCGCTGAAGCGCTCCAGACTCTATGGGACGAACAGCTCAATCAACATCATGGACATGCAAAGGGTTCAGTCATGCAGCAACATTGGGTTGAAACAGTTGATCCTTGGTACAATGCAGCGTGGCATGAAGCCCAGTGGGAGCCAGATGACTGGCGTGAGTCGGATTGGCAATCTATGGACCAGTTTGGTGCTTGGCCCTCTTCCTCAGTTGAGCCAGTGGAGAACACTGCAACCACTGCTGAGGAGGACCCCGACCTTCAAGAGGCCATGGAGGCCGAGAAAGCTGCTGAGGCCTTAGCTTTGGATGCCCGTCGCACATGGACACAGGCTCAACAGGCCACTGCTGCCTTGAGGCGAGACCGTGGTTTTGGTCAACATGCTGGTTCATCCAAGGGTGGAAAGGGTTCCGGGCGTTGTTTCATTTGTTCTGGACCTCACCTTGCTCGTGATTGCCCCGATCGTCAACATCCCCAATACCGTAAAGGTGGTGGAAAACAGCTCACCCCGGCAGAACTAGATGCCTACCTCTTCAAGGGAAAGGGGAAAGGTGTGCGAAAAGGGAAGGACAACATGATGAGTTCTTGGGATGACCCCCCCATGGCTTGGGAAGCTATGTACAACCAAAAGGGGAAACAAAAAGGGCTTGGAAAAGGTGGCAAGCTTCGCTCAACAGTCAATGTCTACGGCATGGACTTTGGCATGGACTTCGGAATGTTGGAGCTGCAGCCACTGGAACTTGTGGAGCCCGATGATCTTTTTCCTCTTGAGCTTTTTGCCAATGAGGCCATCGTCAGCAGGACAATCCCTGATGGCTTTGGAATGCTTGACTGCGGTGCAACCGCCTCCGCAGGACCTGAAGCATCCGTCAAAAAGCTGATTGCTCGCCTCCGTGAGCTGGATGAACAGCTGATGGTCACCATTGACCTTGAGCGTCGCCCGTTCTTTCGCTATGGTTCCGGCCGTTGGGGACAAGCTATGTATCTCACCACCATCCAGACCTCCAAGGATCCCTCCAAGTTCTTTGAAGTGTTTGCCCTGCCGAACCCTACCGAGTACTACCAGAAGTCCTTCAAAGAGCATATGTTGGTCCCCATCCTTGTCGGTATGGACTTCCTCTCCAAGGTTGGTTTGATCCTGGATTTCAAAGATGGCTGTGCAGTGTTTGGTGCCCACAACCAGTCGGAGCCCTTCACCATGCCAAAGAACTCCAAGGGTCACTTCATGGTTGACATTGGCCAGTACCTGATCGGTTCATCGTCCTCGGATGCCCAGGCTCATGCCGCCTACTCTGCGACGATGCAACTCGAGGTTGGAGGACCCAGTGATGAATGGTTTGAGCTCGCAGTTCATGAGGATTCAGTTGCAAGCACTTTTGATGAGCATCATGCCGCACTTCATGTCTCAGCTTCTCATGATGTTGTTTGTGCCATGCCTTCCATGAGTGTCGGTTTTGAGATGCTGTTCAATCGTCGGAAGCAGTTGTCATCTTCTACCGCAGCCTCTGGCCTACCATCCAGGCCGCCAGGTTTTTTGACTTCAGTGACTTCTGATGGCCAAATCCTCCAAGGGGTACAAGACGTCCACACCTCTGGACCCCGAGCGCCGTCAGGGTCACGACCTCAAGGATCCTCGAGCTCAGCCATCATGTTGGCCGTGTCACGGCAAGCACGAGCCCTCAGTGACTGGAAGCAACGCTCATGGCTCATGGGCAAAGTGCGCAGTATGTGCTCTCAGGATCGAGTACATTCCTCGCCAGGGATCACCAGCGAGCTCGGTCGTGCACAAGGACCACACCTTTGTGCAGAAGGCTCTGGAGATGATTCAGGCCGAGATCCCCAAGGGCACCAAGCCCACCTACGAGATGGTGGAGAGGACCTACGAGTACATGGAGGCATTGGACAAGATCCGTGCCATGAAGGCAAAGGTGTCCGCCCTGGAGATCGAGACTCAGGCCATGTTGAGCAGCCTCCACTTGCTCTACACCGGATCAAAGAAGACAGCCAAGGCCTCCGAGGCGGAGAACATCTTGGCCCACCTCACTCCGGAGGAGATCCAGCATGTCAAGAACTTGGCATCGCAGAGGCAGCAAGGCCAGAGCGCGGCCGAGATGATTCCCTTCAGCCCGACCTCGCCGACGGACGACGATGTGGTGGTGGTCGCCACTCCAAAGGCGACAAGCCCGGTGATCCACCTGAGCTAGATGAGTCTCTTGGTACTTCAGTTCCGGAGTTGCAGATTGAGTTGGATACGAAGAAGGTTCAGTTCTCTGCCACTTCCGCTGAAGTCCATGAATTTGATGCCACAGCTTTGACATCTCAGGAGACCTCCGACCCTGAGCATACTTGTGAGACTGTGGACTTTGAGCTCCTCAAGATTGCCGACAGCCAGTTTTGCAAGTCCTTCAAGAAGGGCAGCTCACGTCGAGCCGCTCGCCAGGACAAGAATTCATCATCCTTTTCTCCAAAGACCACATCACTCCATGGTCAACAGCATGTTTCTTCAGCGCAGGAGATGGAAGAAAAGCTTTCTTCAGCACCGTCCCGTTCCTTTGGACTCCCTGTGCTTCCTTGGAGGATCTGCCAAGCCGTGATGGCCCTATGCAGCATGCTCCTCCTGACGGCCCAGAATGACCTGAGCATTTTGCTTCGGGGTCAACATCATGTCGATGTTTGGGAGATCTTTTGTGCTCCCGAGTCCTGGTTGACGTCAGCATGCCACTCGGAAGGACTGACTGCTTCACGAATCAACCTGCACCAGAACTTTGACATGTACCGTGCCAGCACCTATGATGAACTTTGGGACAAGTTCTTGCGAGAAAGGCCACGCCGCATTTGGATCTCCGCCAGATGCACTTACTGGTGTCCTTTCACATCGCTCAACT